TAACCCCCGCCCTTGGGAAAAGGCAACAAAGGGGGCGAGGCCATGCTGTGCTGCTTTAGAGAAGAGGAAGAGAAAACTAGGGGTGCATGTAAAAATCTATTCATATATGAATCTCGATTCTGTCTTCTAACGATTCTAATGGATTCACAAGTTTCAAAATCAATGTTCAAAAGCAGCGGTTCTCAATAGTGTTCCTCGCGTCCCCTGCTCTGCACACGCTCTCTCTCTCTCTCATTCAGCTCAGCTCAGCTCCAACAATGAACTGTTCCAATTATACACTTATTTCCATGAGAAGCGTGCATACAGTTGCTGTACTATATTAAAGCTTTAATCAGGATAAAACCTATATTTTAAAAGCTAACAGAAGCAGTAGCATTTACAAATAACAGCGTATCAAAGTATGAGACAACAAAAAACTAAAAACATAGGCCTACCATTAAAAGCTGTGCTTGCACAGGTTCTGAACGATCCTCTTCAATAATATCCTCTGCTTCTCAATCGAGCTCAAAATGATAAGCGATATTAACGATGCCGTTGTTTACAATACAACCGGAGCACATGCCGCTGAGGTGAGGGGCATTTAGACACGCACTAGACGCGGTTTAGCCAATCACAACACACTGAGCTAGCTAACCAATCAGAGCCCATCTGAGGGAGGGGCTTCATAAAAACAGGAAAAGATCAGCCCGTTTCTTAGAGAAGAGACCGTTCGGTGTGGAATAAAGGTAAATTATATGAAAAATAATGCGTTTTTTTTTTAACTAAGCATTAATATGTTAGACTGCACCCCATAAACACAATAAAGCCTAGGAAAAAAAACAGTGAACCACGCCTTTAACCCTCTTTTAAATCACAGCTTCATCGGAATGGTACGAAACTTGTTGACTTATGGCATTTGAAATGTGAACACACAAAAAATATGAGGGCATGATTCGAGCATGCTAAGTGGCTGCAAAAATTTTTTAAATAAATAGTCACACTTGTGGTCTTCGGTCAAAAATGACCGACCATAGGAAATGAATGGGAAATCGACAAAAACAGAGAATCTGAAACAAATCTGCCACAATCAGATCAGACGCAGAAGAATTAAGCTCTAATAAAACATTCCTGTTCATTTTTGTAGATGTTCAGGTTTGACTGTAGTAATAATAATTCAAAAACTGACGCTTCAAATCAACTTTTAAAAAAAAATAAAAATCTAAACCTTTACAAAAAGTTGTCTTTGAGAATGTCTAAATATATATCTAAACCCACAATTTAATAAAAATAAGTTTTTATGTCTAAAAACAATTAGAGAGTTTATAGGCCTTTTATATAGGAACTATATGGGCTAAACCATGGATTTGCAGATGTTTTTCTTATTTTACTCCCACCAGATGGCACTAATCAGGCTTAAAAAATTTGATTTTAAAAGCATAGACACCATTTTAACATGAAATACTGCATTGATTGAAAAGAAATATAAAAATATATATTTTTTTTAACGCCTTTAACCCTCTTTTAAATCACAGCTTCATCGGAATGGTACGAAACTTGTTGACTTATGGCATTTGAAATGTGAACACACAAAAAATATGAGGGCATGATTCGAGCATGCTAAGTGGCTGCAAAAAAAAAAATGTAAATAAATAGTCACACTTGTGGTCTTCGGTCAAAAATGACCGACCATAGGAAATGAATGGGAAATCGACAAAAACAGAGAATCTGAAACAAATCTGCCACAATCAGATCAGACGCAGAAGAATTAAGCTCTAATAAAACATTCCTGTTCATTTTTGTAGATGTTCAGGTTTGACTGTAGTAATAATAATTCAAAAACTGACGCTTCAAATCAACTTTTAAAAAAAAATAAAAATCTAAACCTTTACAAAAAGTTGTCTTTGAGAATGTCTAAATATATATCTAAACCCACAATTTAATAAAAATAAGTTTTTATGTCTAAAAACAATTAGAGAGTTTATAGGCCTTTTATATAGGAACTATATAGGACTATATGGGCTAAACCATGGATTTGCAGATGTTTTTCTTATTTTACTCCCACTGGTTTTTTCTAATCAGGCTTAAAAAATTTGATTTTAAAAGCATAGACACCATTTTAACATGAAATACTGCATTGATTGAAAAGAAATATAAAAATATATATTTTTTTTAATTTGTATTATTTTCCATGGGAAGAAATTCATCATAATTATTGCATAAATATTAATTAGTACCATGAAATTATCTCAAAATACAAAATTTTAAAAATTAAAAAATAATTTGTATTATTTAGAAAATAAGTTCAAAATTTTAGGTGACCGTGAAGATCACAGGTGTGACTCTCAAATGAGGAGAATCAGAGGGTTAGGACTGATCCATTTCTCCAATAACTCTGACTCGTTGCTCAGTTCTACAATAACACTGGAAGTAAAGCAGGTCAGTGTTCCCGAGGCCTTCAGAGAAGAAACTGGCACCTGATGTTACGCACAATCACTATAAATCACTTCAAACTATATATAATTGCAAATCACATCCATCATGGCACTGACTCCTGCCACTGCAGCACTTATCTGAATGTGTTTATGTAACGTCCTAAATGGATCTTTATTGCCGGGGCTTTTGGGCCGTGGAGCACCGATTATTGATCTGTCTGTGAGCTCTGAGAGGAATCAACAGCGCCGATAGCAGACTGAACTCAGACTATCTGTCGCCACGAGAGGCTTTTAACACTAACACAGCTCTCACTGATCTCTCACACATCAGCGCATCAGTAAGTGCTGAAAGCCGCAGGCCTCCAGTGAACTCTGACCCTCGGAGGAGAGCGGGCGAGGTGCGGCTGAGCCTCAGCATGTAGAGATTCACGGGACAAAACCACGTTAACATGTCCAGAAAATTAAGAAATAATTTGTGTGTAAAGACAATGGGGTCTATGTGGAGAAACATTTAGATGTTTTCTGCATTGTGACATTTTCTTGATCACAATTGTGTGCTGTAAATGTGAGCGATTTAAGAAAAAACAGGACTAGGCTGCACACAACCTTAGTGTAAACATTATACAGGAACAGAAGACTACCTTTAGAGTGTGATTTGCCATTTACAACATTCCCTGACAGACAGAACTAGACTAACACAAGTGTTATTTTAGCACCATTGATGTACTACTAGATTTTGTTTATTAATATTTAGAATTGTATATGTTAGTAATTGTGTTTTTTTTTTTTTTTTTTTGGTTTTTTTTCCAAATAAGTCTTAGTTTATTATTTCAGTTATTTTAGTATATCAACTTAAAACTAAATGAAAATGAAATAATGTTTAATTTCAGTTTAAGTTTATTATGTTTCAACTAATGAAAGGTGTTTCTCATGCTTTTAGTTGTATTTAACTATAATAACTGGTTAATACACCATCAGTCAGTCCTTAAAGTTCATGATATTTGTATGAATTGTTATTTATATTTAGCATTTTATTTTTATTTTTCCGTTTTCATTTTAATTGGTTCATTTTTATTAGTTTTAGTTTTTTCAAATATGTCAAAGTAGTTTTATTATTTGTATTAATTTTAGTACATAATGTTAAACTAATTGAAATTGATATGTATATATATATATATATATATTTATACACACATTCGTTTATGGTTTTATTTATCTTATTTTACTTCAGTTTATTTCAAGTAATGAAGGTTTTTTTCATGGTTTTGGTTTTGGTTAGCGATAATAACCCTGTCTAATACAGCACCATGTGTCAGTCCTTAAAGGTCCTTAGATTCTCCGGGCTGAGCTGAAGCTAACTGAATATCACAAGCTTCACACCTTCAGTCTTCAGAAAGTTATACACACATTCGTTTATGGTTTTATTTATCTTATTTTACTTCAGTTTATTTCAAGTAATGAAGGTTTTTTTCATGGTTTTGGTTTTGGTTAGCGGTAATAACCCTGTCTAATACAGCACCATGTGTCAGTCCTTAAAGGTCCTTAGATTCTCCGGGCTGAGCTGAAGCTAACTGAATATCACAAGCTTCACACCTTCAGTCTTCAGAAAGACACAGACACACAGTTTGGACTAGAGACTGCTATCAGTCCCGCAGGGAGAAGCGCTGGAGAGCTGATGTTCCTGTGAAGCTTTAAAAATGGCAACAGAATATTTTTCCCAGACTCTCGCTGCTTCATGAGAAGTGGTCTGCTAGTGACCAAAAACAGCTATGGACTGATGAGTACAGAGACTTCCTGAAAAATGAATCCGCAAGCAGATGGTGAGATCTGGAGATGTACTACCTTGGCGTGATGTAGGTCTACACCGTACATGGACAGCTTCTTGGCATTTTCCAGAAACTGGGCATCTGATTGGGCTGGAGTCATTCCCCTGGAGAAGATACGAGACAGGTGTTATCAGGACTCATCTCAGGGACCTTCACAGACCTGGCACTGATCATCATCACACACCTTGGGCTTTGAGTTTCACTGACATTCAGCTCTTTTAATGCAGGAACTGAAGTCAGAGGAACTCGTGTGAGCCCCACATTGGTGTCTGGCTTAGTGAATCAATCAGACGGAAGCCGGGTTCCTCCAGAACTACACGTGGACGAATATTCATCCTGCTGTTGAGCCAGATTTGACTCTCACACGCCTAACTGGATCAGAGCTGCATCATGATGCCACTAGTGACGTCACAATCAATGCGTGCCCAGTTATTACTTTACATTTAAAAAGGGTTTTTAACATGAAAATTGTATGACCTTTTTAAAGACCTGCACAAATTAATGTTGTCCCTACAGGACACTAAAATTCTGCTTAATTAAACAGGCTGCAGCACACAGGGTAACTACGAGACTAAATACTCAAGGCATTTTTTATTCAATATATACATATGTATTGAAATCGGTGTACTAATATAAAATTACATACAAAATACTGGTTGAGTGATATTGGATTTGTCTGAAATAATAATAATAATAATATGTTTAAGGAAAGGCAACAAACATATTTAATATGTTAAATAATGTTCTTGGTAGGTCCTTTCTATTACAGGGTTAAATTAAATGCCAGATACAGTTTTTTTGTGTAACCCAAATAATAATATCCAGAAAGAAAACGCATAATGCAAGACTTTTAATAATAAACAAGCCCAAAATATACTGGGAAATGTCTGTGTTATTCAAACAGATGAGGGGGATCAAATAGGCATCTCACAACCATCCACAACACGATAAAGTAAACGCTGTTATAATTCATCAACAGTAAGATCATAAGCAAACGCTTGGCACAGCAGTGCATTATTCATTGATTGCAAACTGCTATGAAACTGCAGGCCTGTAGAAACAGTGCCTCGTTTCGACTTCGAACACACAGCGCTCACATTTAATTAATGAAATCACAGCCCATTTGAACTTTAATCATCACATTAAGCTGTATTGTGATTCCTGTTGTTCTGTCCCTAAATTTAAGACCTCTTAAAATGACAACGAAGACTTCTGCGATACTTTATGATGTTAAATTTGATCAAACTGAATAATAGACATGTTAGGGAGGCCTGCTGTCAGACCTGTGGGACTTGTGCAGCTCCACCACCTTCTCCTCCAGCTCCTTGGTCTGGTTTGGGGCGAACTGGAAGTCTGAGATGTAGTCCAGACGATGCTCCTCGGGGTCGTGGTCCCCGAGCTCTGCCTGCAGGGTGTAGGAGCCCAGGAGAGCGTGTGTGACGAAGGAGCATGGCAGCCGTCCCGACGCGATGTCCTGCCTCAGCTGGAGGCACAGCAGATACCTGCAGAGACCAGGAGAGAAACCATGAGATGCTACACACACACACACACACACCGGCACCCGCAGCCTTTCAGAGTGACCAACAGATGAAGCAGCAAACATGCGGCTGGTGGAGACGGGCAGGTGTCAGCGTGGGGCTTCTGTACCTCGTGATGTCCTCAGTCAGCTGGGACGGGTCCGGAGGGTAAAACTTCACACTGAACGCAAACTGCCACTGAGAGTCTGATGCGAAACACACAGAGAGAAAGAGAACCAGAGCTGATTAAAGGAGAGAGAAAATCACAGCAAAAGGATCAGTTTAGTCCCCCTGCCAACTTCAATATCACAAGAGAGTGTGTGTGTGTGTGTGTGTGTGTGTGTGTGTATTTGTGAGTTTGTGTGTGTGTGTTTGTGAGAGAGTTTGTGTGTGTGTGTTTGTGAGAGAGTTTGTGTGTGTGTGTGTTTGTGAGAGAGTTTGTGTGTGTGTTTGTGAGAGAGTTTGTGTGTGTGTGTTTGTGTGTGTGTGTGTGTGTGTGTGTGTG